ATCAGCCACTTGTAGATGTCTCAGTCGCAAATCCTGCTCAATCCCGGCGTCGAGGACGAGACCGACTTTGTTCCGGTGGACGGGGCTGAGACCCCAGGCACCAGCGGCAAACCGATCGAGAGCGTAGCCTTCGACGTACAAGGCGTTGCTCATCGGCCAGTAAAGCATAGCTCCATTCAGCACCTAAGCCAAAAAAGCTAAGCTCTCTAGCTTAGAAATTTTCTAGACACTTACATTTGGATGTGTGATGAGACAATCGACGATGGAAGCCAGAGCTCTGGCGACGGGGAGAGCATCGCCTGCGTATCCGCCAATGCAGGCCCCAGTTCCAGTCGGGACGATCAGCACAGCCGTGTATGGCCGCGACGCAAAAGCCTGGCAATCAAAATGTTAATGGATCAAATCGATCGATGACATACCGGAGCAAAGAATGCCGTTGCTGCAGCCGTGCGCTTCTGCCTCCGCGATGCTAGCCCCGGCGCCCAGAATCCTCGAGGAGCCGGGAGCAATCCACACAGCAGCATTGGATTGGATAAGCCCTAAAATTTCACATAGGGGCTAGTTTATATCTTTCGCGCCATTTCGCCAGTTCTAGAGAGCAAGTTCTGGGGGGCTTTTACATGGGCTTCAAGGAATAAAATGTGTACACAGTGTTTACAACAGCTCCAATTCCAGACTGGGATGTTGGAGAACTGTTCACGAATGTTGATGCAAAACATGGGTGGGGGCAACATCACCTTGAATTTGCTATTAGAATTAGAATGATCCAAAATATGTAAGTCTGTTCAGTAGCATGGTTTGTTGTCACCCATGTCTATTTCAAAAGGTTCTGGTTTATGCAGCTAAGTTGTTTGTGATCATTGCAAATGGAAATTGTTTCTGCAACCTATATATATATAAGCTTATATATGAATAATAAGGTTGCAATTCCTACCCTAATGACGTTAAGTTAAAATAAAAGTTTTTTATGTCATGTAGATTTGAGCATAGCAATACCTTGGTGACTTAGTAGCTATATTAGAGCCAATCTAAAAAAGAAAAAAGAAAACTAAGCCATCTAAATTTGAAACTTTTGTACATTTTACTTCAGTGACATTATCAATATTGGCATTTTGGTCTTGATTACCACTTTGGTTTTGCTCAGCGAAATATCATTCTCAATATCATTTTTAATTTAATTGTCAATTTGTAAATAAAACTATTTGAGAAGAAAAATATTTTACAAGGAAAACAAACTTGTATAAACAAAAGATCTAGTTTTCCCATACTAAATACTTATTTTTGCAATGCAAAAATCAAGATTTTTCTATGACACAATCAATTAAACATAATTTATACTTTTATATTTGTTTATGGTAAAGCTTTTGAGCTAAACAATCTTAACCATATTAAAAGAAGTAGGTTGAAGCTTAAAGACAAGAGAGTTAATTTTTATTTTTTCTTAGATTGACATTCTTTTGCATTATTGACATCGCAGTTGAGAAATATAATTTTTGCAAAACCCTACCCAAATGAATTTACAAATGATATTAAATTTTCAACTTTTAAGCTATAATACCCTAAAATTTTGAATTGAAGCAGGAATATAAATATATCTATGTTATGTTTATCATATAATACCCATAATCTATATGAGTGGACCTTAAGTAAGTTATTATGAAAAATAAAATATTAAATATTTGATTCTTAAATTATATTTACAATCATTTTTATCCTTTTATTTATGTTCTAATATAAAATTATTATCCTTTATATATTCATTTATTTTTGTTCTACATAAAAATATAAAATTTTAAAATTTATTACTTACTGGCTGAGCAACCTGAAACTTCTTGCCAAGCTGCAACCATGTCACCACCACTCTTGCAGTTTGTCTCCATGGTTTTCATAAGGGGTGTTGGCTCCAAATGACCAGATTGGCAATCACTCACAAATCTTCGACTAGGAGCACCAAGTTCTCACTGGTCTTGCTACATCACACCCTCTAGTGCTGTGCTGCTCCTCCCTCACCATAGACTGATCTTGTTCTGCTTTTCCTACAGCCCCTGCAGGTCATGCTACCTGGTTGGCAATCCACTACACCCAAGTTCCAGTATGACAAAGTAGTCTCAGTTACTGGGCCACTTCAAGCTTGGTTCTATGATTCCGCAACCGACTCATGGACCGCTTCCACCCTTGGTGCCTTTTTCGTTCAGTGCGAGATTGTGTGTGGGAGACAGTGTGTGGTATTTGCTCGACTGGATGTCGATGCGGGTGCGTGGGAGATGACTCTCGCTTCACGGCACCTTTTCTTCTTCGAGGAGATACAATCTTCAAAAATGCTCTTATCATAATTAATTATCCATTGCAAATATTTAGGGCTTGGGCATGGAGGAAGCCCGGCAGGCGCTGGGCGATGGTCGATTCCCCGACGCTGTCAAGCTCTGCAAGCAGCTACTCAAGCATGATCGCCGCAACTACGATGGATTCGTGGTCCTCGGCCTGGCGCTCGTCCGCAGCTCGCAGCATCTGGATCAGGCCGAAATGTCGCTCAAGAAGGCCATCTCTCTCGATCCATCCGCATTGCCGGCGTACCAGGTAAGCATTGCTTGCTAGATTCGTCCAGAGTTCCACTAGGGATTAAGCAGGCTATGGTCGAGCTGCGGGAATCGATGGGAAGCTCACCAGATTTGCTCGCCGAATCGATCCAAGCAGCTCTGGATGTGGCCAGGGCGCGGAACCAGAGTGCGCTTGCGGCGGATTTGATGCGGAAGCTTGCACGGACATTCTCAGCTGGACACAAGCACGATCAAGCGAAAGCTGCTTGGGGCCAAGTTCTCGACATGGAAGTAAGTCGAGAGCAACGGGTTGAGGCCCTCTCTGGAATTGTGGACGCGCACATAGCAGCTGGCAAAGGAGCGAAAGAATGCGAAGCAACTGGAGAGGAAGAAACACAAGCTATGGTGTCACACCTTGAAGAGCTTGTCTCCATGCTACCTTACGTTGAGATCTACCGGGAACTTTTGTTGGCACTTCTTGCTTGCAAAGCTCGTCGAGGTACCGCCCAGTGGAAATCTTCTGACGGTCTCGCTGACAGGAGCTTTTTTTCCAGGGGAGCAAACGAAAAAGGATCTCTTGAAGCACTCCCGAGAAATGCTATCAACTTGTCCCTCGACAATGGCGGCCGATGTGCTTGTGACCATGGCTGAAGAGGACGATGCGGAAGAACTTTTCGAGGATTTTGAAACGGGAGAAGCGAGCTTTCGTGTCTGGATCGGAAAGCACGTTGCTCATCTATATCCTGGAAGGGGTATCACACTAGCTTCATCCAAGTGTAAAACTTCTAGGTGAAAGGCAGCTCTAGCGGCGATCGGTACTGACCAACAGTTCTTTTGCAGGAAGATGCTGGCAGAGTGGGATGTTTCATGTGACGAAAACTCAATCTCTGGGTATGTATACCTTCTCTTGTTTGTTTTCTATATCCTAAGCGTTTAAGCAGGTGTCGGATGCTGGCAAAAGAACTTGTGTCCGAAGGGCTGTTTGAGAAAGCTTCTGAGCGAGTAGGAAAGGGTCTAGCTTCTATAGCGCTCAAACGAAGGTCATACGGACTAGTT